GTCATCACTTTTGGGCCCCTGAGGCTTGAATATGAAGGAAGTATCAGGCAGGAACCTCGTCCGTAGTGAATTGCGCTGAAGTTTCAGGCGGGAGCCCCCTCCCTATGGGGCCCGCAGCTCATGTCCGACATCCGAGGCGAGTCATCGGAGCTTGAGCTCAAGTGGCATAGCTCGGGGCCGCACGCCGTGCGCCGCTCAGGGTTCACCATGACGCAGGCGTCTTGCCCCACCTCCACGCTGTCGCAGGGCCAGACGCTGCGCAAGGGCGTCACCATCGACCGCGTGAGGGACGAGGACGCTGACCGCACGGGCATGTTGGACGACCAGTGGTGGCTGCACCTCTACGTCATGTTCTCTCGCGCCACGTGCATTTGGAACATGCTGATCCTGCGGCCGCCGCCGCGAGAGTTCCTGGAACGAGGGCCGCCGGCATTCTTGCGGAAGGGGCTCCTGGAATTCGACATAAGAGCGGAGAGTTCCAGGGCAGAGGCGGAGCAGCTCACAGCAGAGTTGGGCTTCGTGCTGCCCCCCGCCTGAGCGCGGCGGCGCCCCGCTCGAATCCCGCGGTTGCCCCGACGGCTTGGTCTCGCGCGCCAGCGGCTCGCGGGGTAGTCCCGACGGCCTGGCCCGCGGGGTTGTCCCAACGGCTGCGGGCGGGCCCTCATGGTGTCGGCACGGTTCCTGGTGGGCGCCGGCCGGGTGGGGGAGAGGGTGTCTATTTATATGGAATAGTGATCGAGCTACCCACCCGCCCGCAAGCCGTCATGAGCGACGCCCGAGCCTGAGCATGTTCAGGGTTCGTCTTTGGATGGGCCGCTAGTGGGAACCAAAGCCGACCCCATGTGCGCGACGCTTGGGCGAGGTGCGCCACGCGTGCCAGGGGCGCCACGCGCGCCAGGCACCCCCGGGGACCCGAACGTGCCAGGCACGCCTGGTGCGCCACGTGCCGCGTGCTCTGCGTGCGTGCGGCGTGCCGCGCAGTCCACCCGCGCCATGTGCGCCGTGTCCGGGGCACGTGCAGAGTGCGTCAGGCGCGCCTGCGCGCGCGACGGCGCACATCGGGAAACATGTCGGCCCCCGCCATCCGTGTCGAAAACCAATGCCCGTCATTGTGTTTGAGTTGCGCATAGCAGGCCACGCGCCACCACTCCCGCCGCCCCTGCCGAAAATCATGTGACAGTGATCGCGGGATTGCCGCGCGTGATCCAGACTTAGCCGCGAGGTGCATGTTGTATCGTTTGTTAGTCATGGATTGTAGCCTTGCGCGCGACAGGGAATATGCTGGCACCCCCGCTGTCCCTGTTAAAGACAATGCAAAGTGTTCGCTGGCTTCACGAACGTGACTCATTTTTTTGCACCACAGTGTAGTTTGCGTTGGTTTTCGACAAGAACGGTTGGGGTAACCGCATCGGGTTGGCCGCGCATGCTCCAAATGTGGAGACAGGGTGCGGTTTGTTGTGTTTTTTGATGGGGATGGTGGGGGGCGTGCTCGCACGGAGTCGGCGTGGTTACTGGTTCGCCGCCGGCCGGGTGGGGGAAGGGGCTTATTTTCATACGGGACATTGGTCAAGGCACCCCCCTAGATAGCAAGCCGTCTAGCTCACTCCCGCCTGCCCTCCCAACGCACAAGTAACACCCGAGCCTGAGCATGTTCAGCGGTCGTTTTTGGATGGGCACGAACGTGGAACCAAAACCGACCCCATGTGCGCGACGCGGGGGCGGGGTGCGCCACGCGTGCCAGGCGCCCCACGCGCGCCAGGCATCTCTGGGACCTGAGCGTGCCAGACACGCCTGGTGCGCCAAATGCGCCACGTGCTCCGCGTGCGCCAGGTGCGCCGCATACTCCAGCCGCGGCAGAAACGCCGTGTCCGGGGCACGTGCAGAGTGTCTTAGGTGCGCCTGCGCACGTGACGGCACACATCGGGAAACATGTCGGCCCCCGCCATCCTTGACGAAGACCAATGCCCATCATTGTGTCTGGTGGGCTTGCGCACAGCAGGCCATTCGCCACCACCCCCGCCGCCCCTGTCAAAAACCATTTGGCAGTGATCGCGAGTTGGCCGCGCACGAACCAGATTTAGCCGCGAGGTGCATGCTGTATTTTTCCCAACCATCCTGTGGTGTTGGGTCCTCGTTTTGAAGAGACGGTGCCCCGCGTTCCCTCCTCCTCCTCCCGCTGCCCCCTCCCTCCTCCCTCCTCCCTCCTCCCCCTCTTCCCTGCGTTTCACCCACCCAGTACAGCGTTTCGTAGCCCCATAGGAGCTCCGCCGAAGGCCTCAGTACCCGCGCCCGCATGCGTCACGCACACCCAATTCGGCACACCCCTCACACGTTTCGTGGCTCCATAGGGAGCTCCGCCGAAGGCCCCAGTGCCCGCGCCCGCATGCGTCACGCACACCCATTCGGCACACCCCTCACACGTTTCGTGGCTCCATAGGGAGCTCCGCCGAAAGGCCCCAGTGCCCGCGCCCGCATGCGTCACCCACACCCATTTCGGCACACCCCTCACACGTTTCGTGGCCCCATAGGGAGCTCCGCCGAAGGCCCCAGTGCCCGCCCGCATGCGTCACGCACACCCATATTCACACCCCTGCACACGTCACACGTTTCGTGGCTCCACTTTGCGTTTCGGAACACCCCGCATGTTTCGTGCCGTCCAATTGCGTCCGCACACCCGTCACACGTTTCGTGGCCCCATAGGGAGCTCCGCCGAAGGCCCCAGTGCCGCCCGCATGCGTCACCACACCCATTTCGGCACACCCCTCACACGTTTCGTGGCTCTCCGCCGAAGGCCCCAGTGCCCGCCCGCATGCGTCACCCACACCCAATTCGGCACACCCCTCACACGTTTCGTGGCCCCATAGGGAGCTCCACCGAAGGCCCCAGTGCCCGCGCCCGCATGCGTCACGCACACCCATTCGGCACACCCCTCACACGTTTCGTGGCCCCATAGGGAGCTCCCGCCGAAGGCCCCAGTGCCCGCGCCCGCATGCGTCACCCACACCCATTTCGGCACACCCTCACACGCTTCGTGGCTCCATAGGGAGCTCCGCCGAAGGCCCCAGTGCCCGCGCCCGCATGCGTCACCCACACCCATTTCGGCACACCCCTCACACGTTTCGTGGCCCCATAGGGAGCTCCACCGAAGGCCCCAGTGCCCGCGCCCGCATGCGTCACCCACACCCATTCGGCACACCCCTCACACGTTTCGTGGCTCCATAGGGAGCTCCGCCGAAGGCCCCAGTGCCCGCCCGCATGCGTCACCCACACCCATTTCGGCACACCCCTCACACGTTTCGTGGCTCCATAGGGAGCTCCACCGAAGGCCCCAACCCAATGCCATGCACGCACACCCAATTCGGCACACCCC